TCACTAGATTTTAGGTGTTGCAAACGTCTTTATCTCAGTCGATGCATACGGTCTACACATGCTTCCAACGGAAACTTAAAAAGTGGCCCGAACTTCGTAGAACAGGTCGAAAACGTCTAATCAGCAATATCACATACTATATCACTACGGCAGAACCACTTGCACTTTCGAAAGCGTACCTAAGGGTTCACGAAAAGCTAAGATACTCCATAAATGACCCCGTGCACACGAAAAATTTAGGCTTTGTCCGACCATTAAACAACCTGCGGGCAACACCTCGGTTCATGGCCCCAATAATTGACACCAAGGATTGACGTTCAACTGATGATTATTGCTGACTTAACATGAAACCACACCCGATCGCAAACTCGTGCTACTCCTACGACCTGACAAATACGTTGAAAGGTACAACAATTCTATTGATAATCGGTCTGGTTAAAGCGTTTAATGAAATTCCTATGGCTGAAGACGGCAATGTCAAAACGACTATCATCACTCCCTCTGGACCTTAGCGCTTACCTATCGGCTTAAGAAATAGTGCATAGACATTTCAGAAATTAATAAATGATGTACGCATTCAGGGGTTCAACTTAGCCCATGCTTACATTAATGACTGTTCACTCGTAAGTCAGGATCAAGAATCCCATCCGTAACATCTTGATATTGTTTTCAAATGACTGCAAAAACATGTCATTCAAGTAAACAATCACAAATGTCAAATCAGAATGGACTCCTCGAACTTTCTTAAGCATACTATGGATGAAGATGTACGCCTTCTGCAACACAATGTGACAGTCATTCTGGATAACCCAGAACCGACCACAGTCAGGAAATTATGCAAGTCCAGCGGTCTGGTAAGTTTTTACTGATCGTTCATAACGAATCGCGCGTCTCTCATGTGACATTTAACTGATCGAATTCATGGAGATGCGAAAACTGACAATATGGACAAAAACACAAAAAAGCACTATCTGCAGTTAAAGGATTCAGTGCAAAATCAACAAGTACATCAAAACACTCATTAACCCCACTATTAACTAATCTGACTTGACAATTTGTAGAATCTTACAACAAATGACAAAAAACGCTCACCAGCCTTTGGTATCCTGATCGAGATGTTTGTAAGTCAGTGAATTAATGTATAGAACATATGACAAGTAACTACTAGCCATGTATTTCGCAATACAGCAGCTTCAGAACTCAGAAGAAGGCTTAGAATTCGCTCTTTTATTCGACCACCGACTTCCGAAATCTTTCAGTTCATCATAAAACAGGTACTGTAGGATCTTCTTTAAAAGTTTTCGGTATGGAAAACCCTCTACTTACAAAATGTTGTGTTTTATACTTTTTGATTCCTTCAGATAAACATTTCTTTGAGCTTTCGATTCTGCCTGAAAAGTTATTATTTGTAATGTACTGTTGTTCTAGTTTCCCATGATTCCGAAATCCTTCCTATCGTTGAATGATGTTCGTTCTTATTTTCCAACCTACGTCTATATAATATACTAAAGGTGGAAGGAATACAACGAGACTTCATCCGCAAAATACTTAAGACTGCCTCTGTCATTGACTACAGTTCCCAGTGCTAAATCTTAAGAATAGTACCCTTTTGGAAGATAAGGCTTAGGTCTGATTTGATTATTTACTTCAAACTACTCAAAAACCTTACTTATTCAACATGTAAGATAGTTCTTGCACGAGATTCATATGAATACGAACTTTGAAACAAAGTATCTACCGTCACAATTTATAATTACAGATCAAAAACTCGGGAAAACTTCTTCCTCATAATGTATGCAGTAATATGGAACAGTCTTCCCTCCGAAATACGCATGACAGATAAATTACATACGTTTGTAAAACTGCTTGGCCAAGCCCTCACTTGCACTGATCTTACACTTACGAACACATCTGTGCCCCACTCAGACATCATAGGCTCTCTACATGTCTAGACCAATATGGACTTCAGGTTCAGTTTGCCTTATTTTTCCTACTTTGCAGTTGTATTAGTTACTTTTTCCACCCTATCTCTTCACTTGAAGTAGACAGGTAACTCACTGAACTTATCGATACTGTTCAACTAAACTCAGTCGCTAAGGGACACTCACTACCACCATAAAAATCAAGAGAACCGCACAATCGACTGCCTACTAACAGTGGTCTTGCATCTATGGAGCCTGTTACCCATCAGCTGGTTAGGACAACACAAAATAACATCAGCACCAAGTTATTGTGAGTTTCTACCTGTTTATCCTGTATTAACGTTTTACTCTTCTGCACACTATGTTGACTAGCAATTAATATTATTTCTCCACTCCTTACCTTATCTACAACTCATATACTTCTATACTTTTCAGCCTGCTTTAATAAACAACTATTCTACATTATACCCTTCTTAATGCTTATACTCTAATTGGCAACCTATACTTTATACTATAGTCAATTAAAGCACTACATCGATGCCTTACCCGCAGTCCATAACTTGTAACTGCCTGATAAGCCTGTAAAGTGGTACTTATAGAAATAGTGTTTTCCAACAGGATGTGAAACACAGAGGATTGTGTGAGGTATGACATATCCAAAAATAAGCTTAAATGAGCCTGACGTCATAAAAAGAGAGAGGGTGGAGTTACAGACCAGCAAGCATTGATGGTGAGGGCGATGACTTCAATCCTCCCGTGTTTATGGAGCAGAACATTTTGTATGTATCAGACTCTTTATGATTGAGAATAAGTCAACCAATCTGTGATATAGATTGTGTTCCTACGCTTACCACTCAGACTCATGTTTCCAATTTTATACTGGATCAGCTATTCTACTAAGACAACCTATAACATGCTAACTCAGACTTTGACACTAGGATTATGTGGCTGGCATCGGATGGACAAAATAAGAAAAGAAAGAAGAAATTAGACAGTAAAAGATATAGTTATTAGTATTCTTAACACTTCACCTTCTATATGCACACTCCCTTCTAATAAACCGCTTCCCCTGTACCAACCTTGACTTCCTTTCCTTCATATGAGCTTACTCCATTTTGTTAAACAACAAAGCTCATTGTTCTTTATAACCACATTCTCTAATATGGAGCCTCTAACTTCATTTCTCTCTAACAAGAAATAATATGAATTTAATCTAATTTATTATACCTTTGTCTGCCCTACTACACAATGTTAAGCAACGTTTGGCGTTCATATTCAAGTGCCTTGCTGCTCTTCTGTCCCCCTTCTTTTCTTCATAATCTTGCTCTGAGAGCACAGCTATGGAACTTCTGGAGTCTGGAACAAACTTGACGTGCGCGTCTCCTCAAGGTCATAGTTTACAGCAAGCGCTCTACGAGTCTACTTTATAACAACTATAAACTTAATAAGTTGGGAAGCATGCTGTGCGCCAACAAATGTTGTGATTTGTATATCATGCCTGTAAAAATTGGCGTGTGCCTGATCATGCAGAAATATATTATTATTCACTGTGCTTGCATATTTTGTCTGAACTATATCTACATTTTTCTACTCGATAGTTGGTTATGGCGGTTCCCACATTGATTCGCTCCTCTTCTTGAGTATGCAACTTGAAATGACTTGAGTCATGAATTAATGCAATTTTCCAGAATGGAAAACACGAAATTAACGAATTTAACTATTATCTTGCGACAATCTGTCTAGAAAGTATGGAGTAACATTTCTATGTTGGTAGTGTAGATCATCAACGTAGATGATCTATGTCGAAATGACTGAAGACCTACTCGAGTTAGACGTGAATAGTGTGACAAACTAGCTAACGTCGAAGTCACACCTCATGGTCAGTACTTTACGTGGACTACCCCACTGACGCATCAAGGTACCATAGATGCTTTGAAGACTGTACAACACAGAGGGCGTTATTACAGAAATATATTAGTTAAAGTAGATACAATCGAAAGTAAGACCACTGCTGCATGGGCCAGTCCATGGTATACGATTAACTGATGCTCGTTGGTTGTCCCTGACCTTGACAAGGATCGATGATTTGCTCGCTATTCAATGACCAAACTGCCGGATGATTTGGCTAGGGCTTAGTGACATTTCCCTGGCTCTACAGTAGGAACATTTGTTGCACTTGGTAATTATCATATATCTTCTATCAGTTTAACTTTTTAGTGTAACCTAGATTTGACTACTGGCTGAACAATTATTGGTTGAATTACAGAGCAATAGTTTTTTTCGGTTATAGTGTACACTTAAATTTATAATGAACTTTAGGACCCACATTCATTCATTAACGTTGTTTTAATTTCGACTGGGTGATATCACGTATCTGAATTAAACTAGACAGCTAACTATCGACTTTCCTATCCAATCACCAACCGTTGGAATTCATCATCTAAACACGTGATTAAAGCTCCATCTCTCTATGCATTCAAAAGAAAATCAGATCAACTGAGAGATCACCATTACTAGGTACAACACAGAACATCCAACCTCCTGTACCTTCCAAATAAAACTGCATCTGGATTGAAAGTGTCACAAGTATTTGGAGTTTGACAACACTTTAACCAGTAACACCTTCTAATATGAATCGTACCTACCAAATGAAATAAAAAGACAGAAGCTTTTGAAGATGTATTTGATAGGCTTTTAATATCGAGGATCAACTGATCTATACTGGCTAACGATCGCAAGGGATGTTGAACACGACGTTTCCACTCGTAATCTGGTATGGATGCATGACAGAGCGCTTTTAGCTAGGCGAGTCCATTAAAAATAATGTGTTCGGCATCCGATATCGAAGACTTACAGGGCTAACGTCCTACCTGGTAACGTGACAGCTGCTGATATCAAGAAACCATATTGCCGTGGGAAAAACGCCCTAGCTCAACTACAAAATTTACAGATCCACAAGTAACCACGTAAATGAATAGAGTTATTGCAGTTGAGAAGCTATAATGGCATCCAATAGACATTAACAAATATCTGAAGACATACTAAAACAAGAAGAAGAGAGCTCAATTAAATCGATCGGCTTACACATGCTCGCGATAAAGATATTGGATATAGGATAAAAATGCTCGTAGCCTAAATGTCTGCGTTACTTTGTCACGCATTTTGAAGAGTATGTTAAAAACTGAGTTTTGCAACGTAGGCAGCATTTAAGTGTATAATTGGCAAATTAGGAATAGTTTTTCATCTTTCAAAGAACCGATTTTTCTGCTTCTAAAGTCCTAATAGGGTCGGATATTAAAATCTGAAGTTATAGTTAGAAGTTAGTGTTCATGTGATGAACTGAAGCCAACTATAATACAAAAAATCATAAAAATAAGCTTTTTTGAGCTTACAAATTTGTGTACTCTGCCTTTCCGAAGTTAGTGTTAAATAATCACCGACTCGTCAATTATTTTCCTTCCACGTATGACATGGTATTGCCTATATTGTAATTCCTTACTTTTCCGATTATGTGACCAAAAACCTATTGTATAATATTATATGAGTCGTTTTGTAAAGCAGAACTGCACAAATAGAATCCGTCCTTCTGTTTTGTTCGGTTCGGCTATCGGGCTAGCCAGTTAACGTAAGAGACTGGGATCCTGAACCAATAGTCGCTAGATATTAATCTCAGCCATTATCTAATTGTTATTGGGTTCTTAATCATAGAATAGCAGTTGTGTCATTGGCCCCACACAGGCAATCTCTACATGATAACAATTGCTTCAACTAAATCCCACGACTGCTGCATGGGCACACATACTATGTAAGAAATATGGGCTCTTCTTCATCACATCGATTTTATTGGCTAGAGTGGGATAAAGAATGTTTTATAACCACAAGACAAAGTATTTTGCCCGTCCATCAAGTCGCTTTCTGTTTTTTAAGCCTAACCTTTCTTATCAAGTTTGTTACTGATAATGTACAGGAACCAGTCACATTTGTATATGTTTTTTTTCGTTTTTGTCTATTCTCTCGATTCCTTCTGACCGTTTTATTGGTTCACAGTCCGGTTCGTGTAGTTATTCTGGTTTGGGAACCAGGTTTTGTAGAGCCCTTACATAAATCTGTAGTTGGCAAACTATTCATATAAACTTAATCTGTTGTATTTCTTCCCATCGATGTTTTACAAACAAAAGGCACATTTTGTAAGGTTACTTATTCATAATTACTTTTTACGAGAAAGTTCTATATTTTATTTAACACAACTGGGAAGCGCTTTATAAACCAACAGGTTATCAATTTTGTTATAGTTTACTAAGCGTTAGCCTATTCTCATTGTTACACTGTTTTCCTAAGTTTGGTTTGATAAATATGAATGTGTCGTAACTTTCAATTTCACTTTTCTAATAATTTCAGCCTCAACAAAGCACAATTCCCGCTATCATTGGAAAAGATTTTGCAGAAATTTGGCTGCATCAGTCATCCAGTTTCTGTCAGTGTGATTAAAATGTCCCATGTTTTGCGTAATGTGCAGTTCTCCCATCATTTGAATTCATTCAGACGTTATCTCAAACCCTTATTTCTGAACCGTAAGAAGCTTTTCATTTTATAGGTTTAATAGACTCAATAAGAAAGTTTAATGAAAACTCCACCCCTGCTTCCAAAACGTAACTCTAAATATATTATGTATTTTAATGTTTAATTTTAGAGTAAACGTTCGATTTGTTGATCGAAATGGTAACATCAGACATCTTGAAGGAGAAGTTGGAGACAATTTAATGGTACTGGCCCGCCGGCATAATATTGAAATAGAGGGAGCTTGTGAGGGTTCTCTGGCATGTTCCACTTGCCATGTCTATATTGATCAAAAATTTTATGATCTGCTCCCACCTGCTTCTGAGGGGGAAGAAGATATGTTAGATTTAGCTGTTTTCCTACAAGAAAACTCTAGGTTATGTAAGTTACACGTAAATATCCTTTTTTCCAATAGTAGTTTGGGTTGTTTCATATTTGTCTATTTGATTACATTGTGTGCACGAATAAAAATCCGTCTGACCACTGTTATTACCACCTAATAATACACTTAAGCCGTGACATTTTTTGAAACCTATGGCCTCAAATTTAACTATTCAGGATTTTGGCAATCAAAGATATTTCCATACTTGTGTATATAGAGACTTTGTTGCAAGATCAAAAGTTTAACAATATTTTCACACTAACAGTTATTTAGTAGTATATAAATGTATGTAAATAATTATTAACCACGCGGTAATATAGTAAAGACAACATTACTGAATGTTGGGTTACTTCATCAGTTCTGTTTTTTGTATACACGTAACGCAATATATATTTTGTGAAGACAAACGAAGTCTAATTAGCAGAATTAAGTAAACTTAATTCACCCAACAACTATCTTCAAGGTACAAACAAATTCGAGTGTAAATAAGATTATTAAAATAAACCGAAAGTGGCAAAACTTGCTTGGTTCAATGAGCTTAATATATCAGATGTTTGCTGTTGTTGGAAAGAAAGTTCTAAAACTGGTAATAATACGTATAGTGATAGCATAGTTAATTTCTCGAGATACTAACTCTTAACTGCTGGACTTCAAATCCAACCACCACTCCAATTTCTTTTGAGTAGCCTTGTGTCACCAGCTTTAAACTCCATTATATAAACATGGTCTTGGTTATTAAATTACATTAAAAATTTTAGGAATATAAGAAAGTGCTGTGTACTGTACTAATATAATAAAAGTTATCCAAGTTCAAATAATCGAATCAAAGAAAAATACCACGACAATACAACCAGGTCATCGTAAATATCAATAAAATATTGGGTTATTGACTTTATTTTCCTGTAAAAAAGTCATGTTGTGTAACTGGATTTTTTTCTTGAAATATAAGTGCAATATTTTCAGCCAGTCAGTCATTACCACCTTAAAATCTGAGACATATGCGCCGGCCCTAGTTGCCATACTACATTTGCACAACTAGATAAAAATAGCACCATGAGTGATAAAAGAGATTAAAATAATGTTGTGTCATTAATAGTGAGGACGTAACAATATGCGTATAATTCGGAAAGACAGAATTAAAAGGTTTGTGTGAAGGAACACTGGAATTCTCAATCGACAAAAAGATAAATTGTGGGTGCATCTGTCCCATGATGAGCGATTCTGAACCAAATCACCCAGTCTTCAAGCAGATTTCAACCGGGTAATCTACACTTACCAACATGGTTCAGACCAACAGCTACTGACCTCATCTACTGATGCCATGTCTTGGTTCGGTCACTCTTAGCTTTCTTCTAACCTACTGCTTCATCAACAACACAGGTCTTATTTTCACGTGACTTCCTACCCCTCCAATTATTACTAATTTTTCTAGGTTTTTTATGGTTATGTTATAACCGATGATAAACAGATAACAGACACCTTATTGGGGGTTACTCTTTAATTATTGTATGTGTAGAATCATACAAATGGGTTTATTTGTAGAAGTAGTGATATATATCATCTAGTTTACTTTAACATACGTGCAGAATAAAAGGAGTGCCTGTCTAATCTGATAATGAATGTGTTATTGGTCTCCTATGAGGATAATAATTCTGTTTATCTTCTTATCCTTGAGTAATATTGCTGGTAATCAATATTTAATGCTTGTCAGCTTCCATAAATTCACTTTAGCTCCCATTCAACAGCATGGCACATAAATATGGAGTTATTAGTGTTCTACTTCGTTTGTTTGCCTATTGCTTATTAAAAGAGGTATAATAGCTGATAAGTAAACTCCTGACGACATTTCTTCTCTTTTTTAAAACATTCATCCAGAAAATATAGTTGATTTGTGCTTCAGTTCTCCACTTCAAATTTGGTGTCATTAAGAAGATCATGTGAAATGTGCTTAAATAGATTACTTAAATAATATATCTGACCATTCATAACGCGGAAATGTTATGAAAATGTCTTGTATAAAATCCCATCCTACTAATTTCAAATATTACTAGTTCTGCCTTCAGTCTCGGGGCAGATGTGTGGGCGACTAATGGTCGCGGTGTTTCACTCATAGTCTGTGTATTATTGATCCTTAAATATAGTTAAGATTTAGTGCATTAACTTAACAAGGTTTTGGGCTGAATTCTAGGTATAAAGCAACCTCCTGAGTATTGGATGATAGCTATCACTACTTCCAAATGAATATTCACAGGGATATCTTTAATTAGTGTTGTGTTAGCAGTTTAGCAACCTATCAACGTAGTCAAATGTTTACAGGTTAGCTCTAGTTTCTAGTTGGTAACCAAGAACTGAGTTTACATATGGCTAAATTTATTGATCTCAAGGACATGTCGAGTTTAGTTTCGCTTCGACCGACATTCATTCAGTAGTTTTAGATCGTTACTCATAGTTCTGCTGATTATACTCGATTCCCAAGCCTCTTTACTGTCTAACATTTTAATTATACAGTTATTTGAATTTAAATGCGTATATTTAAATTGATCTTATAAAATCAGTATATCTTTGTGTGCAACTCTTTCATCTTGCGTTTAAATAAAGTTTTATTATCTATTTCATTTAGCCTGCCAAATAATGCTGACCAAACAACTAAATGGAATGACAATCACTTTGCCAAAGGCTACACGAAATTTCTATGTTGATGGACATATTCCACAACCTCATTAGTTATCATCATCTTAAGATAACCTTATGTATATTGTATATAATAGTAATATCAGAAAAATTAAATAAAAGAAACATTATTTTCTGAAACTTGTTCCTTCTGCATTTTACTGTAATAGTCAGTTTTTAATTGGCATGTTGATATTTTTCATTGTTATTTTTTGGTTCCGTTAGATTAAATTTATTGATATACCACATTTTCATCTGATTTGTTACACCATCTGTTTATTATGAAACTATAGGTTATCTGGTTCTGTCCTATTTAACTTAATTTGTTCATTAGCAGAGCATACATGTACAACTCGATCATACTCCTAAAGAACGAATCATATATATATCGTTTCATAAATGATTATTTGACTAGCTATACAATAACATGTAATTGCATTACTGCATGGTGTCTATTCAAATTCGTGACGGATAATTATGTGTTTATGTTACGATTGTTTCCAAAAAATTAATGTCCAAATGCATTATACAACTTAGTGGTCATTATATGTACCATTCAAATCATAAGATATGATATCCATATTCAGTTAACCTCTGAAATACGTTAATATTAACACGGAACCTGAGATGAAATATTTAGAAAATTATTTGAATGAAGATGTTGATTCATAGATGTACTCTTACAGAACAAACTCTCAGTCAGGCAAACGCAGCGTGGAACCTGGAACATGTATACATTTTTTAAGTTCTCATACTTTATTAGCACAGCGAGATAAAATTGTCAGAAAAGATCCCAGAGTAGTATAGATAATAACCGTATTAGCAGTAACAGAATGAATTAGGAACCGAAGATACAATTTTAAAAGAAAATATAAATCAGTAAAATGACGTGAGAAATTTGTGAGGGATTTAAAAACTTATGATCCAAGGGAAGACAAAAAGTGAATTGTAGGTTATCGTATACACTTTAATTATAAAATATTATCACTCTTTTGACAATGCAACGATTTTTGTTTGAATAATATCGAACACTTTAAGGTTTTGTTATCAATGAGTTGGATTCCAGTAAAATGATCGTTCATATTTGAGCTATTTGATAGGTACCTTAGAGCCACAATGTTTAGTTTTGAAATATAAAAACCACTAGATTTTGAGTTTTCCCAACAGTTCATTATCCTTTTAAGAACTCAGACATAATCAAGGTAAAACCTAGGAAAATACCTATCGGCTCAATTTCACATCACAGCGTAATGGGATGAGACTAACAATATGGATAGCGAAGGTATTGACATAATAGTAGTTCCAATGTTAATAAGAAAGGCTAAATGTAGAGATTGATGCTTTTATAGGATATACGAATTGTTGCTTATAGTGGAAATCAGGATGCTCGTTTCCTTTTATTTGCCATTAGTCATTTGAATGGGCCTGTATCAGTGTTGATATTCCCGTTGAGATAAGAATTCAATTCCTTTCACTAAATGTATCGAGGCAATACTCCCAGGAAGTATATATGCCAGAAAAAACTGATCGAAATTCAGTCCTGAATAGTAATATAGGATTATTTAAACCCTTACTAATAATGGTACATATTATACAGTTAAAAAAGAAATAGAACAAGGAATTAGAGTATAAAACTCAAGCTTAGGAAAACTGAAGAACGAGTACGTCTGCACTTTTGCGATAGATCTACCGTATCACTTACCTTTCCTTCAATCTACTACCCCATCTTATTTACATATATTAATCGCTGAATGGTAACCCATGTAATGTTTGTTTACTTAATACTAATTAAATTTTACCTAGCCAGTTACTATATGCCTATCAATCTGTCTTGAATTTTGACATTGAGTACTATGATTCATTGTCTCACCGGGCGCATCAGTTTACTGAAGATTTCAAATACCCTTTGTTGACGAGTCTCAGTTTATTGAAAACCTAGCGATTTCGTAACTTTCTTCGGTCACCTAATGTTGGATTTTGTCGTTTTTTTTTAGCAATAGCTTCTTTTGCAAATCTGCAAGCTTAAAGAAAAACTAAATAGTCGTTAAGCCTTCATACAGTTCTTTCTTCTAATAATCTTTATTAGATCAAAAACAATAACGTTTGCAAGTGGAGAAATGAATTCATTTTACTTTTCTGGGTTTCAATCAGCTACAAACAATTCAAGTTACAGTGAATAATAAGGCTTCAAAAAAGGTTATTAGTGCTTTATTTAATAGAGTCAAGATGTATGTTTGAAACTAGATAGAAAACTTGACTAAGTTCATCCACGTTTCCTATATTCACTAAGTGTGCGATGTTCAGTGGTATGGGAGTAGATTGGAAGAAAGCTAGGGGCGGCCAGACCAAAACATGGCTCAAGTCCATGAAGTCACTGACAAGTGGTCTGAGTCATGTTGATAGGTATAGACTACCTGGTTGGGGACCGCGAGATGATGGCAACCGATGGTTAGAGACCCTGAATGACATGGCTCAAAATCGTTTGCAATGGCGCAGGTGCATCCACTCTTTGTGTTCTCCCAAATTCTAATCTTCTGAATTCTTCGTATCCCTTTTTTCCTCTTTCCAAATTTATTTCACTGAATTATACTCTTTAAATAACATCTCCAAACCCTAATCTTCCCGATCACTGCTTACACTCTTGCTACCTCTACCACTACGGGATTTGAATCGACAACTGCATCTCTGTGTTAAGGTGGTGTGGCAACTCGAACTGATGTACGTACGTACGAAGTTCTACGTTGTTACTGACTGACTGACTGATATTCACAAAGTACACCTTACCCAGTGCTTCCAATCATTTTTCCGTCCACTTGCTCAGTGCCATATATTAAGATATAATTTCACCGAACAGTTCATCTCAGAAAAATATAATTACCGCTGAGATCAGACCACTATTGCAAACCTGGAAGGCTGTTTTGTCCTAGTGTGGGACTCCTCAGTAGTGCACGCCCACTACCCCACGCACGAATGCTTAACCTCTAGACCACTGAACTTGTATCCAACAGTTCGACTCCCACATACAAGAGAGTACAACTTTAGTGAAAGTTGGGACTTGAAATGAAATTTGCAATCGTAACCTTCAGTACTTACCCATTAAATGAACGAAATTACTGAAACTGTTGGATACAACACACTAAAAATTGGGGGCGTTCCTGACAAATCAAGCCTAAAATTTCTCATGCGAGAGAAAACACTCAATATAATATTCATAGTGGTTTGAACCAATACTTATTATGCTGAAAATTTATTTGTACAAAGTATTGAAGGATAGATTACAAGTAATTATACTAATAATAGAAATAACCGATTACACAGTTGAACAACATAACTGGGTTAAAATTAACCCAGTTAGGGAAAAGAAATTAAATTGATACAAAGAAAATTTATACAGTTGCTCTGAATGCACACTTAAGAGACTACTTTACATATCATACAAACTCTATTAGATTAGTTCTTATAATCTCATTATTACTTAACCATAATGCTGCTCGAATTACATTTAAATGCATTTCTACTGTTTAATAATTTCCCAAAAGAATCTCAATTCGTTTTCATTTATTATTTTCAACATATTTTTACCATTTTACCTGGAATAATAGACCTTTTCTGAGCTATAAAATTTTTCCAATATCATGTTAGAATTTCAATACTGTTCCACAATTGAACATGTGTTATAGTTTGCATCATGAACTGATCTTAGTTTGATAATCAGTGAAAACTAAGAAACACTCGGTAACTGTTTCGTCCTAGAATTGAGACTCCTCAACGGCACGTATTCTATGCCCCACCGGGGCCGGACCCAAAACCTCCATGTCTCACATTAAGCGTATTAGCTCTTAGGCCATGAAGCCACCAACTAATAATCCATATGTCTAATTTCAATCAATAACAATCTATCAGTTATTTGAGGTAAATTGTGTTCTGTTGGTTATATTTTAGACGGAATTTCAGTCATGTTCCTAAGAAGACATAAGATAATATTACTTTACTCATCTATTTCTGTACTTATAGATAAATTACTGAAAGAAATTGTCAAGAAATGATTTTAGCTTCATTTGGCCCATAGTTTGTAGGCAGTATGATTCATGACTCGACTTCGAGTACATATAAGTAACTAGATTTGCATTTCACGACAATATTTCTAACCCTTATTTAAAAACATGTAGCTCAAAGCCGACTATGTACAACTATATTTGAGGTAATCGGTTAACAATAAAATCAGACTAGATACATATAACTACTAAGCTTACTGATAAGCTTCCATTGATATATCTACTTTTAGAAAGAAAATCTCAACGACTCAGTTTGCATTCTGAGTTGTCGCTCAATGGGTAAAGCATTTGACTTCTGATCTTTAGGTCCCGATTCCGAACCCCGCTCCGCTTACTACTTTCTAGCCAACTTGGTAATATAATTAACCCTCATACTTGAAGTGTGGCTTACACCTAATTACCTGATAAATGAGTTAGTTTTGGTGATGGTAATATATGTGTCATCTCTTTTTTCAAGCTATCTGATAAGCTTATGTAGCCTTTATAAAGTTACTTATTATTTCCTCAGTGATAGCTATTAAACCTCAGTGACTTTGTAGAATACAAACACCGACAACATACTTTATCGTTTGAATTCATAAACTAACATTCACATTTACAATTCTGTTTAGATTTGAACCATGTCTTAAATGATCCCATGATTATTTCCTCTTTGATTTTTAACTACTAACAACTTATAAGCTTAGTGTTTGGTGTTAAATAATTAAAAATGATTAGCAAAAATCTTCAGACCGAAGTTCTTTCCTAGTTAGGTTTTGTTAGAAAAGGTGTATTTTACTGATCAGTTTACCAGTTATCACGAAAACTAAATATATAGGGCCTGCTACTAACTGTAAACAGTAACCTAAATTCAGACAAAATCTTAACCTAATGTTGAACTTGTCAGAAGGGGTTTTGTGGAGATTTCATGTGCCTCCAGGTTTTCCACGGTGGTCTAGCTTCAATTGACTCATGATTTCAACTATTGAAATTTCTAAAATCTCCACAAAACCTCTTCTGATAATAATTATCTCACTAGTGACTGACTTTAAGAGACATTTCCTGGAGTTCTAGTGAGAAGCAGTGACCAATGGAGTTCAACCAGG